GGAGGAGAGATGACCTTGCTCTGTCCAAATCTCCCGTGTTTACCGTAGAATTTTTGACTGCAAACTTGTTTATGGTGATCTTATTGATGACAAACCACATAAATCTAGCAGACATAGCATAAAAGGATGCCTAAGAGAAGGTCAGGGGGAAATTGAAACTCAATACTTTGGAAATTCTGGACAAATGCTCTCACAGACTGAGGAAACCCCTATTGATTGGATAAATGCTGGAAGATGGCCTGGTGATTTCTTTCACCATCCATCTCTCTGTCTTCCCACAACGCCCTCCATCTCTCTCTCTTTCCCCCATAAAATTGTTGTATAATGCAAGGCTTATTATGATTTCTTATGAAATTGCATACTTTGCTGCACAGCTTAGGTATAAATGTAAGAGAGCCAGTACTTCAAAGGTAATCATAGTACAGAGATTCTCATTAAAACTGATGATTGTGTTTGGACCTTGAGTATTATTTTACCTCAATCTAACCCAGATGTGATTTATGAGCCTGGTCACCCTTCCGTCTCTTTGTGGATGGGATGTGACATCTTAATTTGGTGGAGTTGGCAGGATCTCCTGGAAGGTCTGGAGGCCACCTTTCAGCTACACACCAGGAAGGCTACAAACTGGGAGAGGTATGAAGGGTACTGATGTTCCACCTGATAAGCAGGCAGGGAGTATCAGGACGTGACCTCTCAGCTATACACCAGGAAGGCTATACTCTGAAGGAGGTACAAGCTGTGGCAAGACATGGCTGCCCCAGGAAAAGCCAGTGCTTCACCGCTCCACTGTTACTGAGAAGCTGGAAAAGTGTAATGCAAGTCCTTCTTACAGGAAATGACCTGGGTTCAGAACAACTGTCACGATCCTAGTGCTGTAGCAGAAAGAATTGCAGCCCTTTCTAAGGAGCAGAAAATGTGGTTGGGGAAAGAAAAATACAAGAAGTTAGCTGAGACAGAAACTGAGATGGAATATGAACGGAAGGTATCACTGAGTGGCAGAGATCAAGTCTTGTTATCAGAAGGTGAGGCACAGGGATATGGGGGGCCTGGCGTTTTTTTTCATAACTATCAGTGATCCAGCAGAACCCTGGTCATTAACTCAACAGGCTTCCTATTGGACTAGAGACTTGGATCCCTTGGAAAAGGGAGATCCAGTGAATATTGAGATCTCACTGTAAATCATTTGACAGGAAGTGTGCAAAAGGAGACTTATCTCCAAGTGATGCATGATAGGCATTTAATCCAGCAACAGCCTTCTCCTATGCTACTAGCAGTCAACACCAACAGAATGACACTCCCGATCTGGAGTCTGCCGGACTCTCTGAAGTTATATGCAGTTCATTGCGTCAGCCCCATGTGCTGGATTGAGGGAGAGGGAATTTGAAGAAAGCCCGTGTTCTGATAAATGATGGAAGAAAGATAGGAATTGTGGGGAGTGTTAGAGGAAAATCTCATAGGAAGTTTGTATTCCCATTGCCAGTGTTATGTGTGCAAAACCATGAGCATCCTCTCCTGGATATGAGGAAAAAAAGACTGAATTCCTGCTCAGTCGTGGATTTGTCTTCAGCACAGAGGAAGTTCGTTGCCACATGCTGTTAGCAGTTCTGTATCTCAGCATTTTCCTCTTTCTGTGTACCGACCTTGTCACAATCCCTCTGCTCACTCAAGCCACCTTCGCTGGGCTTCCTCAGACCCTTCCCAACAGCTCTGCATCAGTACCACTCCATTCCAAGTCTTTGGATGGTCAATCCTAATATTTTCTACACAGACTTTCCTTTGCTACTCTTCTTTATACTCCCATCAGCCACACACAAAAAAGTTGAGCTTGTGTTTTTTTGTTTCCCAGGGAGAATGCCTCCTTTATCATTCCCCATCTGATGCAAATGCCCCATATGGAATTTTCTAATTGAATGAAGTCTGTTAGTATTGTAGGCAGCACAGAACAAGGTCATGGTGAGAAACATCAAGAAGCTTTAATGGAAGTTAGTGTTACCTGCATGCTCTTCCTTTGCCTATGCCACATACAGATTTGTATGTGCATACCTCCATTTTACTGGGAAAATAATAATTTTACTATGAATTTCTTTTCCTTAAGAGCAATAAGAATAACCTCACTCTGTACTTGGGAATAAATATACACATACATGTGTATGTGTATATATACACAAAATTTGGTGATTGTATCACTAATAAACAAAAGTTGTGAAGTTGACTACTTGAATGAATTTTGAGTGGTACTCTGGGGATAGCAGGAGTGAAAAATAGAAGGCTGAGTACCAAACTGTAGTAGTCATTCTAGTTTATCTGCAAAGTGTTAAAATGTTGCCATAATTTGATATAGAAAAATTCCCAACCTTCTTGGATTAAGAGAGGTCCTTTCATTTTCCACTATAGCAGTGGCCCAGGGACTCTTGGCAGGTATACATCTCTGAAATTATTACCTTCTTGGTAGATTAATAGTTCAATTTCTTCTAGAGTTTCTGTGCATTCATAACAATAGTCCAGAAAAGAATTGCATTTTTATATACTATTCACACTTCTTGCAGAAAACATCAGTATGATTGTGCAAAGCACCATATGAAGGGAAAACAAAAGAGTTACACTTGGGAGCTGATTCTCATCTGGCTGATGAACAATCGCCATGTGAGAAAGCAATGTGCTGCTTTGAGATTACTTTTAGAAAACAGGCAGAACAAAGCTACGAGCTAAAATCTGAAAGATTCACATTATACATGCAACCACCTTTTCTTGAACAACCTCACTGCAATTCTCTTATCTATTTTTATTAAAAACATGCAAATGTAGTGTTGGGTTGATGATTGCATTTAAAAGAGAGAAAATACCATCAAACCCTTGAAGAAAAAAGCTGTCGTTTCAGGCTCTGATTAGGTGCTAGAAAAAATAAATATAATGATAATAATAATAATAATAATAACTAACCAATTGCTCTCATAACATTATACATTTACATGTAGCAGAATGTAATTTGATTTCCACGACTTCCATCTGCCAGTGTCCCGAATGTTCTATGAGGGCTCTCCAAAAATAATGCCTCCTATTTTATTATGCTGATCCGTAACACTGGAGGTGAAAGTTGGTGGTATGGCAGTAGAGGTTGAACCTGCCTGCCAATATGCTGCTTCATTTTGTTGCCATGTCACAGAGGGCAGCAGAAGGGCAGCCTGACATGGGAGTGTGTATGAAGAAAAGGTGTCACTGAATTCCTCCATGTGGAAAAAATGGCACCAACCGACATTCATGGATGCCTGCTGAACGTTGAATTAAAATGAATCAAAATTTGAGTTTCATATTTTTAATTATTTCGCATTATTTTTACTGCGTCTTTGCACTACTTGATTGCAGTCAGCAATAAAACTGGACAAGTATGAAAATGTCTGTTTTTGTCTATTTCAGACAGTTCATCCTTAAGTCTATAACTACCCATACACATATGTGCTTCCAAACACATACTTCTGTCCTTTATTGATGGAAGAAAGGCAGGCATTCGGATCTTCTTTGGGAAAGAAACAGCACATTTCAATATTAGGTGTGCAAAAAGAAATCAGCATAGGAAAATTTCAAGCAAAATTTTGTGTCACTTTAATCAAATTTATTTCAATAATCAAATTAACTTGCCATTTCTTTTTTAATACTGCACATATATCACATGGATGTGCTTTTTTTCTTGTTTAGATAAATTTTTCTAATTTAATTCTGTCACTTTGAGGGCTATTACATTTTTTTTCAGCAGGTGGAGTGTAGCCTCTTATAGCCAGCCTATGTAATTGTGCTTCTTCTCCATTATCAAGGCAGGGAGTTTCTCTGTGCCCTTTTTCTCTGTGTGTTACAGCCATCATACTCCACAATCTGGCCAAGTACAGTAACAAGTGTGACTTTTGATATCCTATTATATCATGCTTTGATATATTTTTGTAATATTTGATGAGCAGTTATGAACTGTAAGCTAATAGCTTATGCGTACTCCAGTTTATAATATCGCTTCCTCCACAATAAATCTTTTTAAAGTGGCCTCACAGAAATAATATAAATGATAATCTGTTTATGATGAAAATATGTGTATAATTATATACATATGTCTACACACAAATTTGACACAACTTTCGAATACGTATATGCAACCATTTCCCTGTTTTCAGTGGGATTCTGTCACTTGTTTATATTTTGGCACTGGTAGAGGAATATCTTTATTCTACAATTTTGCCTTTGCAATATTTACTTTTTCCTTCTGCTCCTTGGATTTGCTGACAAAGCAAAAATAGAGCATAAAAAGAAAACAGAGAAGAAAGAAAATTAGCATGTGACAAATTGCATCTCTCCAGTTAGAAAAATCAGCTGCCAGACACTGGAATACAATGTGATGCTTTTTATCAAGTTAAACTGTTTATACAAACGTGATTACAGATACCATCTACATATGGATGACATTTGCTTAAGCAATGCAATTGAATATAAATACAAAATATGGTTTGATTTCTATATAGTTATGTGCATGTATATATTTTAATCCTGCTTTCAGAAAATGGGCACCAATTATGCTGGAAGCTATCTCCTGGATGATCAAAATACAGTTCTTACCTACATGAGAAATGCGCCTCTAGAGTTTTCCATTATCTTAGCAATCCTCTGCGTTAAATAGTTTGAGGATGGATTTTTTGTTGTGTTTTTTTTCCTCCCCACTACATCTATTAAAAAACTACTCTAGAATCTCACCACTTTTCTAGTCAGAAACCTTCCAGTTTCCAGCCTACATTTATTTGTGTCCAAATTTCACCCACGTGTTTTTGTGCCAACATTGTCCAGTAGAGTAAATAGTTCTTTTTTCTGCCTACTGTTTACCAGCCTATTGTGTTTTTAGAGGATAATTATTTCCTGTATCAGCCTTTGTTTCAGCTAGACTAAACAAGTAAAAATAGTGCAGACTTTCTCACAAAAAGACTTCTGCCTAGTAATTACTGCAGCTCTTAACCTATTTCATCTTTCACAATCATGACGAGAAAAATCTGTTTGAGATCCCTCAGGTGCCTTAAACTGAAGTATAGCTGTTTCACCTTTATCTGCAAGAAATTTTGTAAGTTGCCCATCTTTGCATGACATTTATCTTTTCACTGTTGCATCCCACTGACAACTTAATAACTGCACCGTCACCTAATACGCATACCCAGACCTATCTTCTATGTTGCTTGCAACTGATATGCTCCTAGTTTATGCTGGTCTTTTAATTGATCTTTTGCCAACATTACATGTTTCAAAGATAGTTTAACTGTGTGTATACTCAGTGTACTTCTTCCAAAGGTAATACATGTCTTGGATAAACTGATGCCAAACATAATAGAAAAATATAAAGGAATAGTGCTGCAAGACGAAGGGAGACATCACACTGAAAGCACAGGGAATGATTAAGGAATAAGAAATTTTGGAAGTATGGTGTAAGAGAACATAATGGTTTAAATGCAGAAAGTACCTTAGGAATGTGGTGGTTTTGTTGCTGTTGTTTGTTTGTTTGTCTTATGTACACAGAAATGCTTGAATATTGAATTTTATTTGTCTTGGAGAAAAAATTCTCAGACGTCGTAGAGCAGGAGAACCCAAACTCACAGAATCTCTCAGTGTGGCATGCAAGGTATATGGGGCTTAGCCCAACACCTCCTCAGAGAAGCTGGGGAAAAGCCTTTGGGATTGCATTCACTGCCCAAACAGCTGAACATCTTTTCTGGTGTGGAACTAAAGCTTAACACACAGTTTTGGCTACTGGTTCTACCATGATAGTGGTAGAAAACTAACAGAAAACAGTAGTGGTATCCAAAGCAAAATACTTTTGGTAGTCTCTGTGGTAGACAGGTCTGTAGAGACAGTATTATTCACAGGTCACTTCCTAGAAATGGTTTGGTGTACCAATGAAAGATGTTCCTTACGTGACTGTTCCGAATAAATGAATATTTACTTAACTGCATCAATACTTTTAGAGTTGTTCACAGTAAAAAGCTTTTTGATGCTGTGGTTGTAGAAGCTCCATCTTAAGGGTCACGCATTTGGAACAAAGTATCTGTGCCTATTAGCTTTTAAAAAACATTGACATTTTCAGAAGCATCTTTAATGATTTTGGACTATTAGTTCCAGTATCTGGGAATTTGTGAACTTTGAAACTTTAAGAAAAGGATTTCAATTTCCTTATTTCGACATGGAAGCGTGCAATTTTAAACACCTGTGGTTGTAAAATTAAAGAGAGTAGACTTGTGCACTGTCACACTTTCTAGGAAGAGCTTCTCTATTTATTAGAAAGTCGAGGTAGGCTTTTGAGGGATTTTTTGGAGGGAGAAAGATAAATCTTTTAAAAATGTGTTATAATTTGTTTTTTTCTTTTTCTTTTCTAAGAGTACTAGGAAGAGAAAATTTATTCAGAAAGGAATTAATTCCTGGGATGTACAGCTTAATAGAATTCTTGAAAAATCTTTCTGTCAGTTTTAACGTTGATGAGAATCTGCGTATTGGGATGGGAATTTGTATTTATGCAGGATTATTTTATTAAGTTATTAAAAGTAGTTCTACTTAATGTGCCCTCTTTGACTGCTGCTGTGTAATTCCTTCTTTGATGTTGAAGTGATTAAGTGCACACATTAAATTTTTGGTGTGTTTCTGGTCATGTTTTAATGTGTTGCATTCTGTTTAGAGAATCCCTGTGGAGCTGATAGCTGTGGACTAATGGCTGGCATACCAAGCAGGTAAGCTGTGGACATTTTTCAGTGTTAACGTAATGACTTTCATCAAAGGAGGAAGGAGTCTTCTTATTTTTCATCTTGTTAAGGTGAGTTTGGAAGACTTTGATTCTATAAATCCTGGGATCTATGATGTCTATAAACCTAGCATATGAAGATAGTGGCTTCAAAAATAAAAGAGGTGGTATTTCTGTTAGAAGAGATTACTTTATTTGACCTCCAACTCATGATTTTTAAGAAACGTTTCAGACAAGTTCAGACATCCGACGTTTGCAGCAGGGTGTGACCAAATGATCATTCTGGCACGACAAGATTAATGTGAAAGCAACCTTTTCCCCTAATTCACTTTCTGTTTTGCTGGTTGAAGGTAGCTGAAGTATTTGCCACACTGGGACAGAGCTTTGTCATTGTCCTCTTTCAGTAACGACAGCCTTACTGAGTTGCTAAAGGAAAGCGATTCACAAACCACCTTACAAAGAGAAACATGACACAAAGTGAAGCGTGCCGTAGATGATAACACCGTATGACGGATTTTAGTCCGATAGAGGTGCTAGGCTAATTAAGAAAGAATTAAACTACACGTGACAGATATCAGTGGCATTGCTTAATATAGCGCTGGAGGATACAGGGAACCACAGGGGTGATGAAAGCACTGCAAGAACGTAAACACAAGGAAAATAAACTACAATTGCTGTGTGCAAGGATAGTGGTTTTTGCAGGTAAACGCAGGGATTCCTGTTTGACGAGGTGCTTTTTCCGTGGCATAATTTTGCCATTAATAAATCTTCTATGCAGAAAACAGCTGTTAAGCTATTAGAAACAGCTTGGGGGGCTATAGAGCGCAGAGCCACCCTTGAACGGTTATTTGTATGAGAAATATTGCATTATTTTCTTAGTGTGAAATGATTTTTCCTCTTGTGCAAAACATTCTGATGTCATTTAAAACTTAAAATCAATAAAAAAATTTCAAGCTAAGAAAGCTGTGTGCATATCAAAAGCTGCTTGCCTCATTAATTAGTTAATACAAAGTAAAAACCCATTAGATATTTATATGAAGAACTATTCAGAACATATTTTCTAAAATAAAGATTTGTTCATTTCAGTCATTTACTCTTAATTTCTTGTGGTGGGTTCCTTTCCAAAAGATTTTTTGGTGCTCTGATTTAAGGCGAAATCAGGCTGCTGTTTCCTAAAAGTAGATTTATCAGTATGCTGATATAGAGGAGTTGTCTTTATGCATAGAAATCTTTGGTCCTTCTTTGCATTTATGTATCATTTTCATTTCTTCATGCTTATGTTGCATAAATCTGTTAGGCCACAGAATTATAAACCTCTATTCCTTAAAATCAGTGAGGTGAATCTGTCTTAAGAAGAGAAGAGGGTTAAGGTATGTTTTTAGATAGAGAGGTTATGGTGGAACACATGGTGAAACTCTGAAGAGCAAAACTTGTTCTGTTGTATGTCCAGTGGAAGGATTTCACAAGCTGCAGTTTCACACTGTAAGAAGAGATGTGCTGATTCAAGAACAGAAGTGCAGGAAGTTCAGCTCTGAGAAGAAGAGGCTGTGCATCAGCAGTGATGCTCTCATGCTCTCTCGGAGCTTTGCCCCAGTGCTGCCTTCTCTTTCCCTTCGGTCTGTCAGCGGTGGGAGCAATTTAAAATCATAGAGTCTACAGTACAAGGCTCTTGGCCTTTTTTTCCCCCCTTCTTTGAATTGGTTTAAATGCTTAGAGCAATTCTATGGCTCATGAGGATTTTCCTGTCTTTCAAGTAACTCCTTAAAAGCAGGTGTTTCAGGGCATATCTTAACTTGTGTAGATGATGGCAGAGTGCTGCATACAATCAGTTACTGACTTGTGGATTAACTTAGAAATACAGCAGGTCACAAACATTCTCCTCCATCCACTGCACATGCATTTCCTCCTCCTTTGCCCACACAACTACAGCAGGGAGGGCTGTTCAGATGACTGTGTGGGATCTTCACAGAGCAAGGAGACACGTGTGGGGCTGGGACTGGACCGAACTTGGGACAGTAATGCAGGAGCTGCACTGCAGCTCATTAAAGTTTCTGATATCACAGGTTATTGTAGCTATTGAAGAAGCTGGAAATGATAAAGCAATTCCTCCCTTGCAAAGGAGGGATACAGGAGGTCTCTGTAAGTACATAAGGTAACTGCAAAATGGTGGAGTTGAAAGGAAGATAAGGATGTTCACACTCTGTGTTGGGACTGGATGTGGGTGCCTCCCTTTCAGGTGTGTGGTCTAAGCTTCAGGTGATGGGAGTGGTTCCCAGGTTTTTGAAGTCTTATTTTTCTTCTTTTTTTTTCATCTTCCTCCCAGCATATTACTCTGCTTTCTCATAAGCAGCATAATTAGCTGAGCAATAAGCAGATCTCTCAGCAGGGCTGTTCTCATTCTGCTGCCATACTATATGTTTACCCTGGGTTACCATGCTTTCCTTTGCTTTACATGTGTTCCCCTCTTTCTGAGCTTCTGCTGAACGTTCTGCTCATTTTAAAAACACTGCTGAAAACTAGTCAGAAGAAAAAAAAAACCAACAACCCTTATTCATTGCACATTCATTTTCCCCCAAACCTCAATTCATTTGCACGTTCACCTCCATATTGGAAAAACCTCTTTTGTTTTTCTAATCCTGCCAGTTTATTTCCAGGTTTGTTGAGTCTTCAAAGGCTTTATGTCACTTCCAGAGTCCTGAGAAGTTGTTTAGTATAAGAACAGACTCTGAGTGCCTTTCTGTGTATCTTGGTTGCAAGCCCTTTTATCAAATTAAGAAAAAAAGAATCTTCCAAACCATTGTGCCTTCAGCAGCAGCACAGTAAAATCAAAACAAAACAAAAAACAGGTGTTCAAACAAAGGGAAAATAGCTAAAGCACATATTGCTTGAAAGTACATAATATTAGTAGAAAGTGTACTTCTCAAGAAGGATGTTTGAGTACAGTGCAATGAGCACTGAATCCACATTCCCTTCCTATCATCGACTAAGGAAATACAGTATTAATTTGCATTTCAATCTTGCACATAGGTGCAAGTTTTATCAGCATAACGTATGCATCTTTTTGTATGTTGAGACACTGTTTTGCCTCTGCCTCAGCCTGTCCAAGGTGTATTAATATTGACTGATTAATGTACATCCCATGGTGTATTATTGCTTATTTAAAGCGTAATGCTGCATGACCTTACTTTTCTTTTTCTGTTAATTATATTTTCCCCTTGTAGGAAAGCAAGTTTACTCATTCTGAATCATGCCAAACCGCATAATCTGGAAAGGAATATTGCGGCTCTACTTGGAAAGTACTAATTGGGCTTCAGCCATCACTGGGAACGTTGTATAGCCTTTTATTATTTTAACTGGCCAAATGCCCTTTGTTCCCACATTAACAGCCTCCCTATGACGCCTGTAACTTTGATATTATTTTCACTTTTACGCTAAATTTCACCAGATGAAAGGCACAAACCCTCCAATTTCAAAATTAAAAAAAAAAAATAAAAAATAGCATGTTTTGTTAATCCTGTATTTCAGAGGGAAAGTCTGTGAAAATGATAACCCATGTCTGCTGGCCAAAGTTTTGTTCAGTAAACCCATCCTGCCAGCTGTTCTCATTGGCAAGAGGAAAGATAATATTTTGGTATTTTTAATTTCCTCATTTTAGAGCAGAAGTTTTGCTTGTGTCATCATTTAAATCATGTGTGTTAACATCAGTCTGGCATACAATACGGCCTTTATAAAGAGCTGGGTTTGGAAGATATCGCTGCGATGTTGCAATAAGGTTGTTCTAGAGCATTAAACACAACTTCAGTCACTTACGGACAAGGAATTCTTGCGGGCTCTCTGGTTCATATGACTGAAATACCGCTTTGAAAGTCCTGAGGGGGACACCAAAGCAGATATGTAGGAGCATTTTAGTCAGATATAACTGCCCGCTGAAGACAAAAAAATAGCTCGAAAGACTGGTCTCTCACTTGTGTGCCTGTTGTCCTCTTCTCACAAGGCAGACTGAGAAAGGATCACTGAAGAGTACCTAAGGTCCAGTCCCTGGTGAGTGACAAGGGATGGCCTCGGGCAGGCAAGAGGAACACTGTTATTTCTAAGAGACAAAAAACAGTCACCCAAAGCTTGAAGCTTAAGCAACCTATCCAAAGGTGCCCTATCCTATCCAAAATGCAGACATCCCTTCATCTTGGTTTCTGGCTGCAAGCTTTAATTTCTACTGAATATTGAAGCCCACACCTTAGCAAAGGCTTATTTCAGCATATCAGAGAATCAAATAATTGTTTTGAGCTGGGAAGGATCTTTAAATGTCACCTGGTCCACATTGCTCAGATTGCCCCATCCAGCCTGATCTTGAATTTCTCCAAGGATGAGGCTTCCACCACATCTCTAGCAACCTGTTCCAGTGTTTCAGTACCCTTCCCATAAAAAAATTCCTCATATCCAGTCTAAATCTCCCCTCTTTTAGTTTGAAACCATTCTCCTTGTCCTGTCACAGCAGACCCTGCTAAAGAGTCTGTCCCCTTCTTTTTTGTAGTCCCCCATGAGATACTGAAAGGCTGTTAAAAGAAGGATTTAATTCACTTGTGCCTTGCAGTAATTGTACAATTACTGTCTTAAGTGCTCTGAGGTGGATGGTGTTTATGACCATTCCAGTATGTTTCATAGGGGAACAGCACAACCTTCCACTGTCCTGAAATAGAACTGGGCCCTTCCATTTATTAAAGTTGTCTTGGGCAAGCCAGCAAAGTCTGTAATGGCTCTCTCATATCATCACCCTATGTGCACTTGGTAATGCAGGGCACACTTCAAGGAAAATGGAGGTCGTTCTTACAGTTTGCCTATGTATTGCTGCTGAAATACATTCTTGCATAAGTTGAAAATAGATTGTGCATTTTGTTACCAAGGCTCAGCCCTGCAACCATACTAATACCACAGTTATACCACAGTTACAACAAGGATGCAAGTTTGCATTTAAATATATTTCTCCAGTTT